ACATGCTCATATTTAATGTTCTTGCTAAAAAAAACAACGCTGGTTAAAAGATGTGGAAAAAAACTTATAATAACCCTATTGTTTTTTAGATTTAACGTTAATTAAAAGAGGTAAAAAATAGATAATAACTCTATTATTTTTTAGACATAAACGGACAAGGGTGTAAAAATAACTCATTTAATATCTTTGTCCCGTGCATCGCACGGGGTATGTACTAGTTAGTAGAATACACAACCTGTTGATAAAAAATAATAATAAAATTTTAAAAAATGTACATAATTAAGAGATGTTTTTATTTTAGGGTTTAAATCTTTCATATAGACTTACACTATCATTTATAATTAAAATTACACTCCTCTCTTGATGGTATTATAATTTAGATAAATTTATTTAAATGGTAATAGTTGTATTATTTTTCAATTGATGTCGATATATAATTTATTATTATTATAATAATAATAATCACTACAAGAATAATCATTTTTAGTGACGATAATTTTTGTCGCTATGTCGTCACAAAATACCGTCACAATAAGAGGTATTATTGTGACGACATTCGAACATATAGCGACAATATTAGGACATTATTAGCGACGGTATTTTTTCTGACGACATAGTGACAAAAATTATCGTCACTAAAAATGATTATTCTTGTAGTGAATTATTATTAAAGGAATTTTATAAATTCATTTGTTATATGCAATATGGATATCAAATTGAAATTCGTAATGAGACGATTAATTTGATATACTATATGTGAAAATCTGATTACTATATTAAAGTTATTAACTTTTAATATATGAAATATATCTCCAGTTTAAGTTGGTTAAGTGTTTATAACTTAAAACTCATAAATTGAAGTATAATCTACATGAATTGCTCTTAGCTAAACATAACACGAAGGATTACAAAGTATCATAATTCAACACAAACCAAAAATTGATACGAAACACCAAAAATTGAAACGTAAGATAGACATTTTGTATCAATATATGGAGGGAATATCGGAATTCGAAAAAATAATAATAAGAAATTCCTTCCTGGTAGTTTTCTTTGATGAACTTGTCCAACTTACAAATCGTTAGTTGACACACTACAAGAATAATCATTGTTAGCGATACTAATTTTAGTGACGACATTAATGTCATGACTATAAAATGATTATTGTGACGATATTCGAATATAGAGCGACATTATTAGCGACAGTATTTTTTGTGACGACATTTGAACATATAGCGACAAAAATTTCCGCCATTAAAAATGATTATTCTTGTAGTGACATTCTGTATCAATATATAGAGGGGATATCGGAATTCAAAAAAATAATAAGAAGAAATTCATTCCTGGTAATTTTCTTTGATGAACTTGTCCAACTTACAAATCGTGAATTTGTTGAGGACAGTGAGATGGGTACTCGTATGCCCTAAAACTAAAAGAAGTTGAACTAAACTTGTCACTGTATTAGACATGGCCACGGTTCAACCCAGCCCACCGGCTCTGCTTGGCCCGACCGTTAACATGGATACGGGGCTTGATCCGAGCCCGTGGTTTGACCGGCCCAGTTCAAGGCCATACATTTGTATTTTTTGAACTGCCGGGCAGGTTTCAATCCAGAACCTGAACGTGCCCGTTCGCCTTATTATTATTAATATTATTTGCATTTTTTATTATTTTTAGTCCTTTTTTTTTTTTCAAATAAAACCACTCCGGCCCACTAGTTCATGAACCGGCCCGAAACCGGCCATGCAATGAATCGGCCGTGCACATATCCAAACAGGTTCAGGGCCATATGAACCTCGACCGAAACCGGTGGTTTTGATCCAGAACCGTTTTTGCCCATCTCTACACGGCATATTATTTATTTGGAGCTCTCTTAACTAAACTTATCACAGCATATTATTTATTTGGGCTCTAAACGTGCATTATTTTCTTTTCTTGTTTTGGATCACAAGATTGTCAACAGGAGTTTTCTTAAATAATTTGGCACTAAATTAGCTGCCCATGAGAGCGATTAGGTCCTTTTATTTTAAAACAATTATCAGGCATGGATTTATTATTGGAGAACTAATCTACATTTGGATAGAATTTGTACTATTCAAACTCGTGACATATGAAATTTTAAAATAAATAATTGAAGAAAAAATATAATTACGAAATAGACTTATATATGTAATTTTACATAAAATATAATTTTATGAATTCATCATCTTCCCCATCTTATTGGTCGTAGTCCTCCTACTGCCACTGCCCATCGACCGATGCTTCCGGTTACTGCCTTCTGACGGATTTCGTAAAATCACGCATTATAGTTTTCTAGATTATTATCTTTGATCCGACCATTGAATTTTTAATTAAAAAATATGCTTGTAATTTTTTTTTTCTTAAAAATCTATTGTATTTTCAAACCGTCCTTTGAAGTTCTCAATCTCCAACAATATATCAATGAATTTTTTTATGGTTTTTGCAATGCGCTAGAGTGAGTTTGAGACTTCAACTGTTAATTCCCGTTCACTCGGTCGTCCAAAATTAATACATGTGCTTTTATTATTATTTTTTTTACATCAGCTACAAAAGTCTTTAATCAGTTTTATGTTTTGAGTTCGTAGTTTTTGTTAATTGGAGTTCTATTTATTGTGGAATTTTTTTGCATTTTTTCTTCATTTTGGGTCAATTTTGCAATTTTTGGCAGCTGTAGTGAAACTTTTTTCGACGCATTTATGATGTTAGAATGAATTTCATATTTCATTTCTTCTTTATCTATATATATATAATTGCTAGCTAAGCAATAAATTTTACCTAATAAATAAAACCTAATAAATTTTGGCAAATCATTAATAAAACCTAATAAATAGAACCTAATAAATTTTATTTATGTGGCATTAATACACCCAATCTCATTAATAAGAAAATATTTCATTACATTTTTTTGGGTTAATTAAGACAAAAACTATTATATTTTATGTTAATTGATTAATAATTATATTTTTATTGAATAATATAATAGTTAATATTAAAATTAATAATTATATTTTATACTAAATAATATATGAAAGTTACATAAAATTATATTTTACACTAAAAGCAATATTTTTTTATATGATGGAGCGGTTGTTTATTAATAAATTAATTTTTTTTATGTCATAGTAAAATTTCTTAAAATCACATAAGCAATTGTTATAATAAATATAATATTTTTCAGCTAATTAATTGGTCATGATTACTCAAAATTATAAGAAGTATATATTTATTACATTTTATGCGATCAATATAGTGATTCGTATACAATCAAATCGTGTGTACTATTTATTTTAACCAATGATCAAATTTTAAAATATAATACTATTATATAATTTATAATTTTAATATTATATACATAAATATAACTTATAATACTATATGTTTGAAATATAATACAATTATATAACTTATAATTTTTATATTATATACATAAATATAACTTATAATATTTAATTTTATTTACATATGTGCAAATGCACAAGGTCGAATACTAGTTTTCAATTTAATATACATTTTATTATAGTAAGGTATACCATATCCATATAAATGTATATTTCTTTAATACTCCCTCCTATTTTATATTTTTGTCATCTTGGCTATCAACACACTAACTAAGAAATATTTTTCTTTTTAAGTTTAACCCTATTTAATGACACAATTGTTAATAGATGTTTTTGGGAATATGAAGAGACAATGGGTATTGATGGAGGGGTAAAAGGGAAAAATATGAACAAAATAGCGAAAACGACATTTATTTAACAAATGATCAATGAAGCTAGAATGACAAATATTAAAAATAGGAGGGAGTATAATTTAATAGTACAAACAAATATACATATAGTAAAAATGTATTTTTGTATTTGTGCATTTATGCCTAAAATGATGGTTTAAGATTGAATTTCAACAATTTCTAAATTCATGCGGGATCCCTATGGTTTCTCGTGGAGCAAAATAAATAATTTGTCGAATAAAACTCGTGGAAAGGATTTTGATGACGTATTGACGTGGAACATACATTTTATTTTGTTGTTCAAACTTCACAAGGGGGTTGTGTTACTTGTGTATCGTCAGCATTAGATCACATCCTTATATTTAGAATATTTAGGTGCTTGTGAATTGTGAACAGGTCGAAATAAAATCAGGTCATCAGGTGTAGAAGTTGACCGTTAAGCGTGTATTATCAAGTGTGTGCGTATTATTATTTGATAATTAAGCTCATTTCANGTTTTTTTTTTTTTTTTTTTTTTTTTTAAAACGATAGATTTTATACATAGAAACACACAAATACAAACTAGAAAAAAGCAAATTCGCTGAGAAACCAGCCAATCAGCTGAATCTAAATGGGAGAGCTACACTTGTAAATTTAGTAATTCTTCCCATTTTGGTTGACATTCCAACAAAGCAATTCAAACTTGCGTAAGACCATTTTTATGGGTGACCCAAGGCCATCAACTAAAGATAAAATAATAATAATAATAATAATAATAATAATAATAATAATAATAATAATGAATAAATGGATGAAAAATCACCATATAAGCATCCACCGAAGTCCCAATGTGACTTGGTTGTCAATCTAGATTGTTGGGTGGGTGTGAGAGACTTGTCGGATTCTTATTTTGTCCTTAGATTTTTTAGATAGGATATTTACAAATAAATATTAAAATATAGTTTCAAATTTTTATTAAAAAAATAAAAATTACCAAGATTTGTATTTTTTTATTCTCTACAAACAGATACCACGTTTGATATAATTTGAGATAAATTTTCAAATTCTCTCTCTTCACCCTTTGAAAAAAATTCTATTTTATCATATCTTTCATTTTTTTAAAAAAAGTTTCCAACAAATATCTTATGAATTTAATTTTTTTATTCGCAACCCATAATTTTTTTCAGTTCACCTTCCAAAACAAAGAAGATTTAAAGAAGGTTGTCAGTGGCACCAATTGGAGCTTTGAAAATCAAATCCTAATTTAACAAGAATGGACGGAGGGCCTAACGAGCAAGCACCCAGGCTTCCAGGAGCTCAACTTATGGGTTCAGGTGATTAATGTCCCAAGATCAAGACCTCTGTTCATAGAATTGTCTCGACATCCACCATGCCAAGTTTTATAACTTATATGATTGACAACAACCTAAAATTCGTACAGACTCAAACATAGCCACCTACAAAAAAATTACTCATAATCGATCCATTTTTTTCTGAGTTTACTATTTCACAAAAAGCCCTGCTTTAAAGTCTACACAATTTTACTTATTGATCTATTTCGCCCATTGAACTTTTATGTCACTTTGTAGTTCTACAAGATCTAGTTTGCTAAGGTCCTACATCCTTGTCTCAGAATGCCTCATTGTATAACCAGTGATCGACTTCAAGTTCAATAGAGACTAATTCCAAAGACTATCAAGAACATGAATCCACAGTTTCGTCTTTAACAGAGTCTAAGCCCAAAGACTCTCTTAATAACACAAATATATAGGGTCGCCTTGCAACCCTCCCACTACGATGAAGTACATCCGACAAAGGTGTATTACACGTGATGCGTACTGCAATTTTATTGTGGTATCACATGTTGTACACGCGGTACCAAATTCTAACTTTCTTCTCTATCTTTTCTTATGAAAATTCAACAAATGGGCTCCTGGTTTATCATTTAGTATTTTTCTAAACGCCAGATATTCGTGCTAACAATCACCTTCTAATTGTTTGTACTAAAGAATACATCAATCTTTTTGTTTCAATGCAGTATCCCACAAACAACCAAATTTGTGAGCAACTTTTTCGATCTTATCCGTATCAGCTTTCCAGCTAGTGTGCTAAAAAACACTCCAAATCTGAAGTCCTAATTTGCTCCACGCCTTGTCCATTCACTCGGAGTAAAAGGTACTGACTTAGATAAAATTGTGTTGAGAGCTTATGTCGTTGTTTCACAACCCCAAAACGAAAAATGAGGACTCTTAGTAACTCATCATTGATATAACCAATTTACCTAAGAGACAATTTCTTTTATATTGGTACACCATCTTGTAGGGGTAAACTCAGTGCAACCTGCTTGTACCGAATCCCATCATGCGATCAGTGACTCCCAGATTTTCCAAAAAGCATTAGTCACCACGATTACGATTGCAGTGTCACTGATACATTAGTCTCGGCGTCTGGCCACAACTTCTCTTGTACTCGCTTGAAGTAATCAAGCTTATGGAATGTCACTTATGTACCCTGTCTCGAATAAATTTATTGAAAAAACAAAATATTCGAAGCTACCCTATGTTCGAAAAATCATAGGACCGCATAAATCGGATAAACTAATTCTAACATTGATTTGACTTCTATACCCCTCGGACATTAAAAAACTATTTTAATTATTTTAGCTACTAAGTATAATTCGTAGGCCTGATAGTTTAAACCATTTCCAACAGATCCATAAGTCAATTGACTATCCACCCTTGAATCTTACTAATGCTAGAATTAATAATCACTAGATGCCAAAATATGCATGGTTCATTTATTTGAAGAACCTTTCCTCTTATTAGTTTTAGTCAATGTGTTTCCCATCCCATTGCAAAGATGTACTCGTCTAATTAATTATTTGTGTAGAATGATATTCGTAGATGTCCCCGTCTACTTAAATTATTCTAACATTTCTATTTTTGTTTGCTAACGAAAATCGTTCGTTTTCTAGTACAAGCGCTATCATAGTGTAAACCTTTATTTAGCCAAATTTTTATCCATTTTGGACTTATTTTGTTGGCCCAAAATCCAAGTTTAAAACCGGCCCTATTAAGCCTTGAATAATTAGGCCCATTGTATGTATTATTTCCGGCCCAACAAGCTTGAATATGGCCCTCATTTGATTCCCTCGTTCTGCCCTGAAGGAAACGCCATTTTTCAGCCTCTCCTTCCCTTACATTTTCACGCGTTTTCAGATTGGAGAAATTCCATCTCTCAGAGCCAAAAATCAGATCGAAAATCCACCCTCCTCCCTCAGCCTCCGACCATCTCCGCGCCGCCGGACGTCCGCCACATCACGCACATCAGACAAACCGCGCCGGCCGAGAGCCACTTGCACTAGCATCACCGCGAGCAGCAGCGAACACCCCGTCGCCGTGAGTTACCGAGTCGTCTGTAATCCGTCCGTCCATAGCCGAGACATCGCAGCCCTCAGCCACCAGCCGCCGTCGTACGCCAAGGGCGAAAGGCCGCCGTCCCCACGTCATCGCTGCAACTCGCCAAGGACGACCCCGCAACCCCACGACCAACTGAATAGCAGTCCTCTTCCGCCGGCGAACAGCCACGCCCCGCGACGCCGCTGTAAGCAGCCGCTGAAGTCAGGTTTTTGTTTAGCTATAAGGCCTGTTGTTGTGCTTAGAAATGTGAGGATAGAGGAGCATGCTGATGTGAAATTTCTTACCCTTGTGTTTTGTTGATGCTGAGACCTTGCGGTTATTCATTCTTCATGTGTGTTAATGTTGGTGCTGAAAGTATGTGTGTAGAGGTATTATAAGAGTTGGAAAAGCATGCTTAAGATTGGTTAAATTTGGAAGAGAAAAGAGAGCTGTTATGTTATGTTTCTGCCGTGTATTTGATATTTTGTATCATGTTGAAATTGGGTAGGTTATATTCGATTTTATGCTCAGCATGTTGGGAGTGCCTTGTATGTCGAATAAGAATGCTTGTTCCATTGTTTTGTTGAGCTTTAGATTCGGGTTAGTCAGTCAAGGAGTTTATTCATGTCAAGTGTGTTGAGCAGTGATGAAAGAAAAGCATGTGGTTTGTGTTGTTTTGTGCTCTGCTTGCTAAATTGATTTCAAGCCAGAATATGCTGCGTTTTAGACTGCCGTTATGTAATTATTTCAGAGCTTGTTGAACATCAGTTTCAGTTTGAAAAAGAGTTCGAAGTATGCTTAAATTTATTTTAGTTTAAAGAGAGTTGTGTGCTTTGTTGTGCTTATCTGTTTTATTTGCCCGCCTCGTTTGTTTGTTTGTTTTTTGTTGCCTTACTTGTTTGCATGGCTTAATGAACCTCAATCAAAACCCTTAGTAATTATGAAAACTCTAATTTATAGATTAACAAGAGTCGAGCCCTCTCGTAAATTCACGTGTGGGTGTTGATAAACTTTACCATTGCTTAATAATCAATATATGCGTGTGAACCACTTATCTATTGAGTTGAACCCTAGTGCAAGAGTGTGTGCATATGAGCATAGGGCATAGCTAGAGTGAGTCTTATGTAAGAGTGTGTACATATGAGTATAGGACATGCTGGATTAGATCCCGTGCAAGAGTGCTTACATATGAGTGTAGGGTAAGTCGGTCTGAGTCCTCTACAATAGTGTGTGCATATGAGCATAGACAAGAGCGGATTGGGTCCCGTGCAAGAGTGTGTATATATGAGTATAGGGTGAGATAGGAGATAGGTGAGGTGATTTTCATTCATGCTGCGATTATGATTTTAAGTCATTATACTGATATACTGCATGGTATTCCCACGGTGAGCTTGTTGTTTGCTCACCCCTACTATTTCCTTCTTTCATGTTGAGCTGGCGGTCGTGGCACAAGACGGGCGAGTGGGGTATTTTTATCTTTATATATTGTTTGTCTGCTTCCGCCATTGTTATTATGTCGCACTCATTATGAAATTGTAAGACTTGAGATTGGATATCGTTCTGAGTAATATGATATCATATGAGGCTTGTTGATGAGCATGTGATATTGTGTCCTTGGATTATATGTCTGTGTGATTGTTCTGGGTGAATTATGTCTCGTATATGACTTGATATTGGGCAATGAGTTCCTAACGGCTTGTGATGATACAAAGCAGAATGATATATGTATGGATGATTGACTAGCGCCCGTTAAATTGTTTTTAAAGCGATAAATAAAATTTGAAAAATTTATTCTGATTTTTTCCTTATAAAAATAACGGGGCGTTACATTAAAGCTCGAGCTTGAGGCCTTAACGAGCCGAGCTCGAGCTCGATTTCTAGCTCGTTTACAGGCTACTAAAGTAAAAGTTGAACGGCTTTTATGGTGATAGATGGAAAAGCCCTTTTTGCAAACTTGTTAGATAATGCATGAATGTTCGATGATCTCAAAATGAAAGTATGAATAGCCAACTTATAAGGTCGATATCATTTTCAGAGTACTAAATTTCATGAGGTAGTTCTATAACTTGCACAAACATGATCTATATTTTTCGTCTATTTATTTTTTATTTTTTCCTAATATGTTGGTTCATGTTTTTTGCAGATCCTTTATATCGGATATAAAAAGATGCCGAGACAGAGTTCAACCAAGAAGCCAGCTAAGCATTCACCAGAGGGACCCACACCACCCGAACCGGAAACGCCCGCTGTGAAGCCCAAGAAGATGAGTTCGGAGATTGACGATATTTTTGCAGCAGCGAAAAAGAGAAAGAGAGCCGAAGAGGGCAAAAAGGTTCACAACAAGAAACCAGGAAAAGTAGATGCTAAATCACATGATGGACTGAGGAGAGAAAAGGATGCGAAGAAAAAATCTTCGAAAGAAAACGGGCCTTTTAGGCCCACTTCTTGGCCAAGGAAAAAGACTGCAGATGGGCTAACTATTTACACAGAAGAGGAGTTGGGCATCGGGACAACAGATGCCGGAGGTACTCATTTGTGCCCATTTGATTGCGACTGTTGTTTTTGATATAAGTGACTTAACTTTTTTGATATATTTTTAGTGACTCGTCATCTTAAATGAATATTTCACGAGCCCTTTTTGTTGTGAGCTTATGTTCCCTTGCATATGGTTTGCGTGTTACGAAATTGTGCATTCTTTGGTATTTGCTGCAACCATTTGTAATTCTTGAAGCTAGGGGTGTTCACGGTCCGGATTGGTCCGGTTTTAACCCAAACCATGACTAAACCGGACCTAACGGTTAGTTTTTTTTCTTGTCCATAACCGAACCGGTTTTATTTTTTAACCGACCACTATCTGGACCGCATTGGAGGTCCAGTTTGGCGGTTAACCGGTTAAATCCAAAATCCTTGTTTTGGGCCTTCAATTTTTATTTTTTTCATTTTGGGCTTAATTTTTATTTTTCAATTTTGGGCCCAAAAGAGATTATTTAGGCCTAAAAATTAAGAAAAACAGCAATAATAAAATAAAAAATACACAATTTTTCCCATAATCATAAAAATACACATTTCATCCCATAAACATAAAAATACAAAAATGATGAAGATCAAATTATGCAAATTGAACCCAAGCAAGCATTCATTTTTCACTCAGTTTATACACCTGAAATAATAAGAGCAAAGCATTCATAGTGAATGTATTGTATTTGTCGGCCATAGTGAATGACTAAATGTGTATANCATCCCACACTTTCTCCCTCCCTCTCTCCCACACATACACACACAACCACACACACATATACACGCATATACATACACCAAAAAGCTGCAATATTAAAAAAAAAAAGAAAACGGTGCAGCACAGTCGGCCCTCATCGTCTCCGACCTCCGACCGGCGCACCGCTCATCGCCGTCACACAGCCACTATTCGCGGCGGACGCCGGCGGTCCTCCGGCGAACCACCATGCTCGCGCGCAATACACACACACACAAAGAGCACCATCGACCTCTGTCGCCGACGTATCAATCTCCGCCGCCTCCTACAGCTCGAACCATGCCGTCGGCGACGAGAGAGGTGGTCGGAAGCGAAACTCCGGTCAGCTCCAGCCAGGGCGGACAACGGTTTACTCGGCCCTGAACGACGGCGGAACATGGAGGTTTTGGTCGGCAACCTCCCGTGATCGGGACGGCGGGTGCGTGGGTGGTGGTCGGCCGAAATCTGGAATTTGAACCAGGGGCTTCAAATTGGAAATTAGGTTATTTCAAAGGTATTACATGCAATTTTACAAATTTTAATTATATTGCAATTGAGTACATGGGTTAAATCTGTAAATAATGGAAACTTTTGTAAAAACACAATAAATTAATAATTATAAGAAAGTGTACAATGTATGTATGAATATTATATTAAATGCACATTAGTACTATATTGAATGCATATTGATGTATTCAAGAATGCACAATAAACAAAATGAATATTAGTGATTAAATAAATAAAAAATAAAAAGAATATTAGTGATTATAGTATTGTACCGTAGTGTTATACCGATTGCATATTAATGTATTTGTGAATGCACATTATGATCGGCATTTCGTACATAATATTTTTTTCAATAAAAAAAATATATAAAAAGTAGTAACATAGTAAAAATAATTTGAATATAAATAATAAATTATTTCAATTATTTAGGATAATTTAATTGACCAATCGATTATTTAGGATAATTCAATTATTTAGGATAATTCAATTGGCCGGTCGAATATAAATATTATTTTATTATTATTAATATATATAAATATATATATATTGTGGCTTTTCAACTAAAAATATAATAGAATATTAAAATACAAAATATAGTTTTTAAACTATAAACTACAAATTATTTTGTATATTAAGCTTAATTCGGTTAATCAAATGACCAATCGATTATTCCGGTAATTTTTAGTTTGGTTTGGGACAAGTCATTAAAAAATACATACACTAGGATTGCACAATAGTGTTGGATGAATTGCACATTAACGACTATCAGATTGCACAATAATGTTAAACAAGATGCACATATTGACTGAAACCGAATTGGCTCAAAATTTCATTACAAGATCTTATATTTTGGCTAGATTATCTATTTTTTATTTGTAAAATATAGATTTTGTCAGTTTAATATCGACATCATTTTTTTTTAAGTAACCAAGACAATAAAACCGATTGAACTACATAAAAATATTTTTTATATATTTATTATATCAAAATATTATTTAGCCAACAAAATATAAATATTAAAGATACTAAATATATTTTTTATAATACAAATATTAAATTATTTATGTATGATATTTCAGTCAATTGATCAGTACACCTATTGTTTCAAGTCGATTTTAGATTGGATTCGAACAAATTACTAAAAATATATGAGATGCGAGTGCACCACAATACTATATGAATTGCACATTAATGATTATTGGATTGCACTGGATCAATCGAATTGAAATTTCCGATTTGAAATTTTATATTTCGATCCAAATAATTTACTTTTAAAATTATAGGCTATAATGTCATTTATCAAATAATATTTTACATTTTTTTATTATTATTGTGTATTTAATATATTTTTTTATAAATTACAGATTTGACTCATGTATTAAATTGAAATTTAATAAAAACACTAGAATTGCAATTAAGTCCCTTAAACTTATCCAATTCTCAAATGTGTGCCCCAAAAATCTTGCATTTAAACTGTACCATTTCCTCTCACATTCACCAACAATACTTGAATGATCTCGTCTCTCGTCGTGAATGCCGGGATGGCAATCGTCGGTCGGCCAATGACGATTGTACTCCGGCAATGACGGCGGCAGAGATCCTCACGCCTCCGGCGACCATTCCGAAGGCGTCTGTAGGTCGGAGGTAGGTTGCGCAGCCCCTAACCGGCGGTATTCCGCCGAGCGGCGTTCCCTCGAAGCAGATCCGCACCTGACCGGCGTGAAGCTTCGGGCTGTGGCTGTCGGCGGACGTCCGGTGGCCATTAATTTAGCGACGGACGGCAGACCCGCAGAGGTGTGTGCTGGTGGCGGCCATATCTTTGGCCGACGGCGGTATCTCGATGACGGACGGCAAACCGGAGTCTGTGGGCGGGTGGTGGTGTGCTGTTGCCGGAGAGTGTGTGTGTGTGTGGCGCGGGTCCGACGGAGGTCCATGGATTTTTTCCGGTGGTCCGGCGAGGGTCAGTTATGTGCAGGGACGAGTCGGCGGCGAGTTTAGAGGAAACATTATGTGCGTCGGAGTGGGTGCCGGCGTGGTCGAGGGCGGCAGTCGGCGGCAGACGGAGGTGGTGCCGGTGGTGAGTAGAGGTCTGCGATATGTGTGTGTGCATGGGTGAGAGAGAATTGAGGGGTTGGTGGTGGGACCCACCTAAGATAAGAATCAATACATAATTACTACTTTGTCCTCAATTAATGGTTGACTGATTTTATTTGTCCAAGATTTGTACTCTTATTTACGAATTTGCCACCCCTTGTTTGACTGCTGTATTTAAATTTTGACTAGATCATAACCATTGATATGTTGGATCCAATGGTCTAAATTTATTCTCATTTCTTTCACTATCTACCATTCTCATGTCATCCTAACTCTCTCTCTCTCTCTCTCTCTCTCTCTCTATATATATATATATATATATATATATATATATATATTTGTTATAGTTTTTTAATATTTACCGGTCCGGTCCGGTACCGGCGGTTTGACACAGGTAATCTGTTAACCGGACCGGTTATTCCGGATTTAAAAAAAAAATTAACCACTGGATTTTTTAAGGCTTTTTTAACTGACCATTTAACCGATCCGCAGTCTGGATTGACGGTTTTTTTCGGTTAAAACCGGACCGTGAACACCCCTACCTGAAGTTGTTTTTGGTTTAATATAAGATGGGATAATGAAGGCTGGATATTAACTTTTGTACGGGTGTTGCTGGAATTGAACGAAGTTTGTTCTCTTTCAATAAACATGTATGATATGAATCGGATTTGGTTCGTTTAAGCTCTTAAAATCTCAATTTATTTAATAAATTCAGAATCTCATATCACCTGTTCATAAATATTCTTGTATATTTGCAAACATTGGCTCGATTTGTTTTTTAAACCTGCATAAATAAGCATAAATGCTCGCAAGTGAGTTTGGCTCAGCTCGTCTAACAAACGAGCTCATTTAGTTGTCATTAATAAACGAGTTCGTTTAGTTGTTCAAATTCGAATCATTTATAACTGGAGAAGAGACTTTGCTATATACTTTGAGGGATCGCCTACGTGTGGCACGAGTTTGGAGAAGGCTGGTACCGAGGGCCGAGTGGACGTGGTTTTGTACTTTGGAGTTGTGGGACTGGTTGATCGATAATCTAACAAACGCTCGAAAACTGGGGATTACGGATTGGGATATGACATTTGGCCTGGCAATGTGGCGTATTTGGAATGCAAGAAATCGAAAAAATTTTAAAGGAGAGAACTTTAGTGTGGATGGGGTCTTAAGAGAGATAGTGCATTGGAGGAGTAATGTGTCTATAGTAGTCATGGGAGAACGGAAGTTGGGTGGTTTTGGTATTGGCCGAGAATTGGTGCAAGTGCGATGCTCAACCTCGCCTGAGGGTTGGATTAAAATAAATTCTGATGGCTCTTTTAACCCGACGACGGGCATGCTAGCGCGGGAGGGGTGTTACGTGACCATTGTGGCCAGTGGATTAAGGGCTTCATTATGAATATCGGATTTTGTTTGATTACGGGGGCAGAACTTTGGGGACTTTTTCAAGGCCTTCAACTAGCATGGAACTCGGGTTATCAGTTCGTCATTTCGGAGGTTAATAGTCGTGGTACTCTCTTGATGTTACAAGGTGAGAATGTGGAGCAGGGAATCCATAGTGCATTAGTCAAGGCCATAAACGAACCAGCCGATCTAAACTTTCAGTGTTCGCAAACAACTTAGCTCAATAGTCTCTAGGGAAGGAACTTGAATCTTGTATTTGGTTCAACAATCTGGCTGGGAAGAAACTTGAATCTTGTATTTAAAAAATAAATAAAAAAACTAAAACAGGCTTGTGAAGGCATCTTCTATAGTTTTATGCCCTCTACAATTTTGAATGACCATATTCCCGGTGGATATTTTGGGCCAAATTGCATCCATTATGGTTTTCTAATTAGTTTGTGAGGATCAAATGGCTTCCCATGAGCAGATATGATCATGAAGTGGATCTATTTATCGTAAACTATTTGCCAAAGGCGAGATGACTATACATTTGTTTAGTTGCTTTCCAAGAAATTAAAAATTTCTGTAGAAAACTGGGTAGTTAGCTTCACGTGATGTATGCAAAAGTCAACTGAATTAATTTGGACATGGAACTTATGAGCTAGGGCTGAGCATGAGACTCGGAGAATTCCGAACCGTACCGAAAACTGAACCGAAATCACTCCGAACCAAAAAATCTCCGTTGACCGTTTGACTTTCTCCGAACTGAACCGAACCGAAAAAGTAATTGGTGCGGTTCTGGAAATTTCATAAATACCCGTACCGAGAACCGAACCGAACCGTCCCGTACCGTTCCGAACCGAAGAACCGATTTATAAAAATAGATGCGTGTTATTAATATATTTTATGTCAACTTTGATCCTATATAATTTGAGAATTGTTAAAATGCAAATAAAACATAGTAATAAAAATTAAGATTCACTTACATTTCATGTTTAGTAATATTTGATCTACAATTGAATTTCTCATGTTTAAAAAAAATGGAATGAAAGGTTAAAGATTTTAAAATATATATATATATAAGCTTTACTTAAAGTTGTTGATACTTAGTCTTAGTTTATCTTATAACAAACATGGTATGGATGGTTAAATAAATATTACTTTAATATAAAACTGTATTATATTTTCTTTGAATTTAAAATTTTCAATGTTAGTTGAATTTAGTTTTAACTAAAATTTAGGGTTACTTCTAAAGTTGATATAAAAATAAAATCTTTAGTATGATGAAGTATTGATACATGTTGGATTAAAAAAAACATATAAAAAATAAAATATAACTAGGTGGTCATTCAAGAAAATTTAAAAAATGATAAGAAATCTCCGAATATTTGAACCGAACCAAACCGAACCTAACCGTTCTGGTAGCCCCGAAAACCGAACCGAACTGAACCGAAAAATAAAAATCTCCGAACCGGACCGAACCGATTTTTTGGTACGA